ATAATATTACTAAAACATTTATGCAAATTTCATTAATGAGTGGTATAAATAAGAGAACCCATTGTAATAATACATTAATATATTGTAATGATAAAAGATTACATAATAAATATCTATAATTCTTTAAAATATTATTGAGGCTATGAATGTATATGTGTATACACATTGCAAGCTCGATAAGTAGGTACTAAAAAACCAATAGTTTTGACAATAATAAAAACATTTTTAGTTAAAAGCTGGAAGTAAAATTAGTAAAAACAAAATTAAATCAAATTAATATGAAATAAATCTATTAATGTTTTGAAATAATCCAAGTTACAGAAATTATTCTAGTGTCTACATTAATAATATAATGGTTAAAATTGTGATAAAGTTCAGTAATAATAATAAGTTAATTTTTATATAAATGCGGAATGTCCGTTAAAAGAAATAATTATGTCTAGAACATACATGATGTATATTTTAAACTTTTTTAAAACTATAATATGTAAAATATAATTATAACAATAATGATGAAAGTTATTCAAATGACTAACTTATTAACAAATAAAATTTCAAATTAATAATTTAAATAAATAACAAATAATAACTTATACTACAAAATAGATATAATACGTTATGGTGATAATAGAACTGAATTAATTGCATTAAAAAAGCTAGTTTAAAAATGATTAGGAAAAAAGATTTTTAAACAATGAAAATACTGACAAGTTCTTAAAAACCCGCAAGTACTAGATTTTTTTTTATTAGTATTTAACTCTAGGCTAAATTTAAAAAATCACGATTCATAAGGCTATATTAAGTAATACTTTGGAAAAACATAACTGTGTGATGCTCGGAAGAATTGGACAGATTTATTGACTTAAGGCAGACAAGTTGTTAAGGAAGTCTTCTGGAGTTAGAACGTGTGATGAGCCTTTATATAAAAAAAAAAAAATGAATACATATACAAATATATAATTATAAGATCACATAATGATCACACAAAATCTTACCTATTATAACCTCCCAGTTTTTGAAGTTATTAGTGACTTCATAGGCACACCTGATTTCAGAAAAACTTACTCCTCCAATCACAAACACTATTACTCTGGGCACATTCTTTATTAACTGCTGACCTTTATCTTTATGCCAGTGTCCATATCGTGCACTAAAAATAATAAACATTTAACTGTGAGAAGTTTATATGCTAAATTACAAAATAATTAAGTCAAAACGTAAGACATATATTGTAAAAAATGTACTACACTTTTAAAAAATATACCAAAGTTTAAATACATACCTAGTTGGTGCATGATATCCAGATGAAGCAGCTCTACCAGCTAGAAAAGGAAAATGTTTGGCATCCAATTTGTCTTCAATACAGTCTTCCATTAAATCTTTGATCACGGGTGTCCAGCGTGACATTTGGTATGTCTGTTCAGTAATACGTTCCTTACGTGGTATTTGATACTGCTTCTTTCTGTTACCCTAAAGAAGTAATTTTAATTACATATTTCAACTAAAAATAATATAAAATGAATAAGTACCGAATAATAATACTTACGTCCACAATAGTATTTATACCCAGCAAATTCAAATTTACAATAGCTTGTTTATCAGCTGGTGATAATTGAGCATGTTGTACCAGTTTGTTAAGATTCTCTTCAGATATTCCATTTTTAGACAAAACATACAATATAATTATCCTCATCTTATCATTACTGGATGTATTTTGATCCAATAGTATAGGCACAATGCATCTCATATGGTCTTTGATCTTCTCACCTTCAGCATCTGTACCCATAGCCAGGTCTTGTTCTACTTTACAAAGTCTGTCCACATTACCTTGATAGCATTTCATGCAATCTTCAGCCAAATGCAAATGAGTAGAATATTTGCTCAACTCTTTTTGGTACTGGGGCATTTTTTTAATCATTGTTGACAAATCTCGCATAGAAGATTTACTCTCACCAACAGCTGACATACGCTTGGAGTCTATGAACTTCTTTAAATTTTTTGTCACATTCCTAAAACAAAAAAAAAAAATCAAAATGAATCAAAACTAATAATTATTAAGCGATCAAGTTAAATTTGTAAGCTTACGTAGATACAACAGCAATATGTTGATGTCTTAACTCTACCCAAAGTTCATCATTTTCATCCAACAATACTTCTTTAAAAGCAGCTCCTGCAGTGGCTTCATATCTAAAATGGATTAAAAATATTATTTATAATTTTATTATTATAATAATGTAAGAATTATATTACTTATAAACATCATTTTCGATAGGTAGAAGATCATAAGCCATAGCTTGGAATGTGAGCTCATGTAAAACAGGAGAAACACAATCAAATCCTCTGTCAAGTATAATTAATTGTGAACGGGCTTTCTCGGGACCTTCGCCCATTGTTGGTTCATCAGCTTTGTAAGCATCTAATTTTTGCTGAACAATCTGTGCTAATTCAGCATTACGTTCAAAGTCACTTCTATATCGTACCGATGGATATTCTCCTAATGTAGCACAGACAGTGGCAATCTGTTCTGCTATGCGTTCCATATTAGGAACACGACTACTCACTAGTAACGGATTATAATAACATTGAAATGTTTCACGAGAATCTAATGAAAACACCTAAGAATTTACACAAAAAAATTACATTAAATATTAATCCAAAGTAATAATGTACAAGTTTTCTGACACCAAAAGAGAAGAACTAAGCAAAAATAGTTAAACATTAAGCAAACACACCTGACGCTCATAAGGCAGGAAAGCGATGTTAATCTCTCTGAGTGTTTTAATTTTTTTGGCAGCAATCGATTTGCAAAGTTCATTAAATAGTTCTTCTTGACACACTTCATTTAAATTAGCAATAAAACAATACCAGATTAGTATGTTAAAGCAAAACACAAATAGTTTATTAACAGCAAAGATTAGATTTTAGTGTACCCGTGTTTATACAAGTCATTCAACATATTTTAATTCACAGCCAACAATATATTTATAAATATGCCTGATTTGAATTTAACATAACACCAAAACCATAAACATAAAAAAGTTTAAAATAGGCAAATACCTCCACAAAATATAAAAATTAAATAGATCCAATATATAAATCAATGAATAAGAATGTTTACAAGTAACAACACATATTTTTGTTAATATAGTATAGCTTATAGAGTTATAAGTAATAATCAAAGATCAACTTCCACCATTAGTTTAGCAGTTAACAGTCTTCATAAAATGTTACCTGTTGTTCATATGCTATGAAAGCTATGTTAACTTCCACTAAAGTTTTAATGAATTTTGCGGCTGGGGACAAACTTAACTTGTTGAATAACTCATCGGGACACGCTATAATTACAATAGTGCAGAGAAAATATAATAATTAGGACAAAAAGTTAATTATAAAATCTAAAAACATTGTCTTTAAATGACTAAAAATTGTATGTAAAAAAAATGACAATTTAATTAATAAGTTTTTAAAAATTTCAAATATTCCCAAATATTGCTATCAAAATGTCTTAAAAATATATTACCCTCAGTAAAGTAAACATGAGCAGCTTTGTACATAGATTTTCCTGGACTGGAGAAATCTCTAATAAGAGCAGCAACTGACTTTTCACTAGGAGTAATCAAGTAAACGGCTTCCAATGTAGCCAAAGGCTCTCGTTTTTTTTGTAAATCTTCAACAACTTTAAAACCATAGCAAAAATGTGTTTGTGATTTGAATATATATATATATACATATTGATAAAAATGAAAAATTAACACTTACTAGTGATTCCTTCAGCTGATATTTCATGCATCTTACAACAGGCAGATATCATTCTCATTGCCAATTGGTCCACCACCATTACACGCCATTCTATACCTTTGTCAGCCCCTTTTTTTACACCTTTCTGTTTAATGACCTCATTCATGATCTCTGTAAAATAAAGTATTAATTAGTTAGTATAATATGTATGAAATAAACAAAAAACTACAAACAAAAAGGTAATATTATGTATAATTAAAAATAAGGCCTTACTTTGTCCAACAACAGCTTTCAACGCCATGTTTGATTCGATTCGAATCTATCGAATTGTAAACACTAAACCAACAACCTTTAAGCAGAGTAAGCAAAAAAAATAATTTACAAATGTCACTAAGAATTTAATAACATTACGTCATTAAGAGGGCTGAAGGATTCAAATAACTTGGTCGGAGATAAGAGTAGAAAAATGGTGGAAAATCAATTGGAAAATTGGTCAGGCATCAGTGTAGCCAACACAATAACAAGAAAATTACCTAACAATACGTTTTTCTTTATTGACAAAATTATTATGACTTAAATATTATAATAATTCATAAAATAAACATTAAAATGCTATGTTTAAATATCTTGTAGGTAATTAGATTTTCATATAAATGAATATATCTAAAACGAATTTAACACAAACAGGCATATGTAAATATATGCTTATGAATTAATTAATAACATTATATAATTCTTTAACAAACTATTATTAGTTTTAAATGTGTAACAAGTCTATTAAAATTATACAAGAAAATTCTTTATAATGTATTCTATACACCCTTTTTATATTAGTATCACTTATTAAGTGTGACAATCAATGTTTCCATTTATCACCTAATTCCTCAATTATTTACAAGTTCATGAAAAGTGGCTTTAGATTAAGTGCTTCACAATTAATTACTGAAATATTTATTCAGATTATAATAATTATATGTTGACTAAATTAATTTTCAAGCTTCAATTGTACTATTATTTACTAATAATTATAACAATGCTGTAAGTATTACTTATTTATAGATATTCCTTACATAATACATGTGTATAATGTATATTATTAGTTTTATTACCAAAATTAAAACCAATTTAAAAAATGTATTTAAATTTATTTATTTGAAAAATAAATTAATATTATTGTTAACAAAACTGTTAATTAAAACTTTAAGATTGAACATATTTAACTTAAAATGAATACTAATTGTTATATGTATTCAATTACTTAAGAAATTTAAAATAAAAAAATATCTCGACAAAAAAATACAAATAGAGGTTTTGTGTACAACAAACAGTAATACTAGTAGTGTAGACAATAAATCAACAAAATTTTTTCCTTTTTGCAGTAGGTTTACCATCAGGTTTGTCATCATGTTTTTTAGTTTCTTTAAAGTTTTTCAAATCGTCCAAGAATAATACCTAAAAATTAAAGTTTTTCATTTTATACAACAAAATAGAAAATTTATGATTTCATAATATTACTGCCATAACATTACAAAAATATTGCTTATAATAATTAAAATCAAGTTTTAAAAATCTCATAAGAAAAAAATTATATTCTGTTTATAAACATCTTATAAACATTATAAAATATTATAAGAAAATATCATGTTACAGGAGCCATATGACCACTGTAATGTTACTAGTAACCTTAAACAAAACATAAAATTCTCACTGTATGTGCCCATCCAGCATTCTTTTTAAATATTTTTCTAAAACAATCTCCTATTTCATTATAAACTGGTTGAGTAACTGTTTTATATTTTTTCAAATGAGGTAAATAATTTTCACAAGCAATTTGGAATACATGTGTATCTACTGGAACAGCTTCCAAGTGATCAAGTGACATTAAACAAATACAGTCAGCTACCTATAAATATAATAAATTGTTTAAATGAGTATATAATATGGTAATAAATCAAGTGATATAAGAATAAGAAAAAAAAAATTCAAAAAAGACTAAGTTTGATAATTTTTATATGATTTACAGTAAAGTTATGATACTTGAATACAAAATGTCTTTTTATTATTTTTTAAATGTGAGCAGTTAAAATTTCAATTTTGTTAAAGATGTTGATTCCTAGCGTAGCTTTTCCATCTTTAATTATAAAACATATAACTAAGTTTTTACCTTTGGGCCAACTCCAGGCAATAGCATCAATTCTTTTTTAGCACTATCATAATTCATATTTCTTAGTTTATCAATCCATTCGTTACTACCTAATTCAAACATTTTTTCAGCAGTTTGTCGTATGAATTTAGCTCTATATCCAAATTTAGCAACTTTCAAATCTTCTTCAACTTGTAGCCCAATTAATTTTTCAATATTAGGAAAAGCATGATAAGTTGTTCCATCTATTTTTTTACCATATAAAGTACACATTTTTTCAACCATAGACGAGATCCTGCAATGGTATTTTTTTAATCACAAAAGACAAAAAATGTATGGAATTTAATTTACCTTGAGATATTATTATTTGATGAACAGATAAATGATAATATATTTTCAACTGGTTCTTGTCTCAACATTCTAATTCCTTTAAACCGTTCAGCTGATTTTTTAAAAATTGGATCACATAAATTCCATTCTTTATAGTATGCTTCTAAAGGTTCATCAATTCTAAGATAATTAATTAACATTTTTTCATCCAAGTTTGTGGTGGGAATTCGTTTATAAGCAATATGTTCATCATTTTGTTTTAATATCCAAAAACCACCAGCAAATACTCCTGAGTATTCATCTAAATTTGTTTCTTTCCATCTAAAAATTATATGAGACAATTTAATAATGTATAAACAATTTGTATTTATTAAACATAAATCATTTTATGATGATAATGATATATTTATAGTTACATAATATTATAAATTAGTGGTATATTAAACACTTATATTAAGGTGTTTAACTAAATTAAAAAGTAAAAAAACCAACATTTACCTGAAACTCTGTCCACCAAGTAAAATACATTTTAAATTCACTTGGTCTCTTGAACACAAAATTTTTTTCATTCTTTTTTTAATAATGACCAATAGGTATATTAAGTTATAAAAACTTATTCAATTAATCTATTTGTTAATTTTCGTGCATTGGAGCTCAATCTTCGATTATTACTAATAAATAATAATACTAAATCGTAAATACTAAATAATAAATATTATTTCAAATTTTGCTAAATCGATTATCTGAAATGTAATGCATATTAAATAGATATCAAGAATAAAATACTGATGGTAAATAAATGATGATAAAAGATTTTACGCGGGTATTAATTCATCAGTATATCAGTATCATGGAGGAAAAATACTATATCTATTTAAGTTTTAATAAATGAAAATCACATTATCACTAGCCGCTGAATTTTAAATTTCTATCAAATTATTATATTTTAATTATAATAAATACTTTTGAAATAATCAAAAGCTTATTAGTTTAGTTTTATGAATTGTTTACTTAAACATTGTTCATTTGAAACTTGTATTTTTTCTACTAAGTTAGATGAATTAATCTATCAATGAACTATGAGTAATATAAATAATATATTATTAAAAAAAATTAAATTAAAAATTTTAACATAGTAATACAAAAAAAAAATGGCATTAATCTAATATTTAATAATATATTAATTTATTATATATGCTTACATAAAATATTTTAAAAATATTTACCTGTATATATAGATGCACAATATGTAGCTTTAAATAGTAGTAAGCATATTATATTGTTAATTTGTTATTCATATTTTTTTTTTTAGTCTAACAGAATCTAAAATTCTATAACTGAAATAGTAAATTTTAGAAATGTCAAAAATATAAACTTTGAAATTAAAATTATTACTGAACTCTTAACTTTGGACTAAAAATACAATACTAAAAAATACTCCCTTAATTTAATCACGTAAATAAAATTGCTTCATTAGATATACCTACTATGGTATACCTAATATTAGTACGTTATTAATTATTATACGCATTACGTATAGTGTACCTATACTTTTTTTATATTAGTTAAAAGTGTATTTAAAGTAACAAAATAATATTAATATACCGAGAACAAAAGAACCTCTATCATGATTCATTATGAAATTTTTTAGTTTTAATTAAAATTAATTCAGTTTGTTAAATCGACGTGAAGCTATAAGATGTCAGCGCACTGTTAGTTTTCTCTCTCTGACCCATACATAACATAGACAAAACGTATTTACCCAGAATCATTTTTTTGATATTTTTGAGTAATTATAGAATAAAAACACATATTACAAAAATTATAGAGGATAGTATTTTTGAGGATTTGCCATATCGCTTTTTATATTTTATTATTATTTGACTTAGTATTCAACTTTCAAAATAAAAAAAATAAATTATAAATTTAAATGATGTTTAAAATTGTTTGAGACAGTATTTAGACAAATCGATATGTTATACCCTCAAAAATATTGTTCTTTATAATTTTTATTATTGGTTATTTTACTCTAAAATTACAAAAAACCATTAAAAAAATGATTCTGCGTAAATGCGTTTTGTCTATGTACGTTACGCGAAAATAAACAGTGCGTTGACAATGTTGACATCCTCTAAGTCAAAAGTCGCAAAAAAATTGATATTACTATAAATAATAACTTAATGTTTAACATAAATATTACATATTTTAATTACACGTGACCTTTAGTAATTTGAGACTTGAATCAACTAATTTATTATTTAAACGAATATTAATTTGTTCTTTTATATTTAAAATCATTATATATAGGTATTATAAATATAAAATGTAGCAAAACTTCTTATCTAGTTTTGGCATGGCATTGTATAACTTAGGGATGGGCAACTCAAAATTACTAGAGGGCCAATTTTTAGAAATTAAAATCTAGTGAGCCAGATCATAGGAAGCAAAAAAAAAATCTCATTCAAAATAAACATTTTAATTAGGATTTATTTTGTTTATAACGTGCATTTTTTATTTTAAAATTGTATTATGCAATTTGAAAATGTAGCACGGACCAGATAAAAAAGGCTCGCAAGCCGACAGTAATTGTCCACCCCAGGTTTAACTATTTGAGGTCGTGGAATGGTGATTGACGGGGATTGTATCTGTCCATGTATGACTTACATTTTAAAACAGGTACTTAAGAGAGAAAATAAATACTTAGATACAATAGTCAGTAGGTATGTTTTAATTTTAATTGTATGTATTTTAATTTATCAATGATTAATATTTTACTATAGATTATAGAATATGGTATATTTAACAAAAAAAAAAAGTTTAATAAATAAGATATAAAAATTTAATTTAGCAACCAGGTCCTGTGGTAAATACAAAATACTAAATAGTAAAGGGTGATGTGATTTATTATCTATTCTAAGGCCGAACAATATAGTATTTTTCTTCCATGTTGCATAAGTATCCAACGAAAACAATACACTTATAATAATATTGGCATCACTGGTTATCTTTTGTCAGTTATTACTTTAGTACTTACTACTTAGTACTTACCAGTTACGCTTTAAAAATTCAAATTTCTAGTGTACTATCTTAACTTGTTTTTGTTAAGTTAATACTGTTAAGACGTTCTTTTGGTTCTAAGTTCTCAAAAAAACTAATTGGCTAGTTTTTATACTTTTGCCGTAATAATTACTTGGTAATTATTTATCTATTTTTTTAATCTTAAACCCGGTGACTGAGGACATAAGCTGTGAGAAGATATTAAAGGTTTTTTTGTCTTTTTGTAGGGTGACTAAGCCAACGATCGCATCTCATCTGGCAACTTTGTGATTGTTATAAGTTCTAATTTGAAATTGTCCGGACTTCTGAAGTAACGTTCATTACATGATTTTTGTACTTTAATTTAAAACTTTTAAATTATCTAGACAAAATGAATGAAAATTTATCACAAAATAATGAAAGCTCTGTAAGCACATCAACAAACTGTACTCGTCCTAGTATAACTACAATTGATGTAAGTATTACACATCATTAAATATATTAAATAGTCCAATTATATAGAAACTAAGATGACTTATTAAGTTATAATTATTTATGAACTATATATCTTCCTGTATCATTATTGTTGTAAGATTTTTTTTTCTTTAAATAATAGTATTAAATTAAATTTAAATCTAGTTTGATAATACTAATTTGTTTTTTAAATAGATTTTAAAACAAGAATTATATCAAACACAACTGCAATTGAAAACCAAAAATGCTTTTATTAGTGAACTTCAAAATGATGTAGAACAATTACAGATAGTTGAAGATGATAATATTAAATTGAAATCAGAAATTTTAACAAAAGAGTCAGATTTAAGGCAATGGACTGTAAAAGTAATTAATCAATTACTCATTGACTATTAGTTATTTCTCTCTTTAGATGAACATGTATAATTTTAGCTATAAAACATTTATAATTAAATATTATTTTATTTCAATTGTATTATATTTCAGTATTCTAATTTAGAGTTCAAATTATTAGACCAACAAAAAGACCATTTATCACAGATTGATTTGTTAAACGAGCAACTATCAATTTTAAAAAATTTAAAAGATAAGCCAAAAGAAGACTTACCAGTAAATTTAAATGAAACTATCGTAACAGAATTAAAAACTGAGTTAAATGAAAAAAAGGTACGGTTAACCATATATCAATATATGATAGTAAAATATACTTAAATTATGATTGTTGATAAGTAACATTTTCAATTTTTTTTTTTTTTTTTTGTATAGGAAAAATATGAAGAGATGCAAAATATGATTAACAATCAAGAAATTATCATTATGGAGCTAGAACATTCAAAAAGCAGAGCTATTGAAGAATTAGAAGAATTTAAAAGAAAATTTGATTTTAAAACTGATCAATTAAATGAATGGAAGCAAAAGTATGAGGTATGATTTTTACATTATTAATTGTTTTGCTAATACTTTTTTTTTTTAAATTAAGATTTTTTAGTAAAATATAGTGATTTTATTTTATGATACTAGACATTGCAAGAAGAATGTGAAATGCTCAGGTTACAACTCAATAGTATAAATAATTTAAATGCTCATAATAAAAGAGGAAATTCATTGTTTGCTGAAGTGGATGACAAAAGACAAGCATTGACAACTGAATTGGAAATAAAAAGAGAAAAATATGAAACTTTAAAAAAATGCTTATCAAAAGCTAATCATGATAACAATCAAATGAAGGTTTTAAAAATTGTTAAATTTCTACTTTTACAGATTTATTCTTGTTTATTATTTTATTTAGATGGAAATTATGAGATTAGAAAAACAGTTGTTAGAAACAGAAAGAAATGATGACTTAGAAAAATCTACTTTGATTCAAAGTTATAAAAATTGTATAAGCGTAAGATAATTCATAGTAAAAATTGGTGTGTTTATTGATTCATTTAATTTATCTGTATAGGATTTAGAAGCCAAAATTAGGGAATTAGATAAAAGACCAGAAACCCCACAAGTATTAAAAATAGATAATTTAAGCAATGATGGCATGAATGTTGTTCTTCAAATTGTATCTGATGTCCGGTATGTTATGATTTTAATTATTCAAATTTTATGTTTAAATTTTTAATAAATTATGATTTATTGTTTCAGAAAAGAAAAGAAGGCATTAGAAGAAGAAATGAATAGAAGGTCTATTAGAGATATGGAAGCTCGCCAACAATGTTTTAAAGGAGAATGTGAAATTCGACAGCTTAAGAAAGAGATGAGAAAAGACAAACTACAATTAAAAGAATTAGAACAACAAATTTCTGTACTAAAATCTAAATGTAAAGACATTTGTAGCGTAAAATCTTTGCATAGTTTTTATATTCGTAATTTTTTTTATTATAGTGTCTTCATCTAAGGAAAATATTGGGGAAGATAAACGGATAACATCTAAAGGAGTACGTTTTCACAATAACTGTAAGATAGAAGATGGGGGCCCTTCGTTGAAACAAGCAAAAAAAATTCCACAACAAGCTGTTTTGAACACAATTGTTTGTCCAAAATTAGAAGAATTATAAATTATAATTAATATTATTTTATTATTTTATTTAGTTTACAGCTCTTATAATATATATTTTAAAACTATTCTATTTGTATATTAAAATTAAATTATATGCTTCAATTTTTTAAATATTAATTTAAAATAAAACTTCTATACTGAATTTATAACAGCAAAAATTTTTAATGTTCCACAATCATATCAATGATTATATTTCAATTTCAATTTATATGTATATATACAGTAAAACCTGTCTTATACGGACCCGTATTAAGACAGAATCCTATTCTGTTTAAATTTATTTATTAATATTAGTGCGGACATTTATTATGGTCCCAGCAGATTTCTATAATTTAACATAGTATTAAACCCTTGATAAAACTGAACCTGTTTAACGTAAAATGGAAAGCTTTTTTTGGTCCTGTAAATCGTTTATATGTACATTTAACAAACAGAAAGATATATGAACAAAAATATTTTAGATACCCACATTTATTTTGTCATTAAACATTTATTAAGGTCAGCAATATTAATATGTTTCGATAGATAACTACATTTTATTTTGAATCTATATCATCAGTGCTCATTATTGTCATACCATATAGTTATAGTTTTCCTATCTTTCGTCTCATCTTACTTGTTCTTACAATGTCTTCAAAGATTTGTTTAAGTTTAAATAAAAAAGTTGAAGAGAGATAGAAGAGAGTTGTTAATTTTAAAGAAAAAACTGGATAAAACTATACAAATTTTTGAAATTTTTAATTATATTTTTATCTATTTACTTTATTTTCTTATATTATTATTTGATTAATACCTACTAAATAACTAAATATTATGTAATTATTTACTAAAAATTAAAATTTATTTTAACCTATGATATTTATTAATTTTCAAAATTTTTATTTTTATTATTGGCCACAAAATGTTATAACCTTAAATTTTAATTATGTAGAATATTGTAACTCTATAGTATGGAATTTTCCTTTTTATTCAGTAACATGAAAACCTGCTTAAAACAGAAATTTTTATCAGTCCCATGCAATTCCGCACATGGCAGGTTTTACTGTATTAATATTTTGTAACATTAAAATAAATAATACATCAAATGTAAATACTTAAATGTTTACATACATAAACACATGTATGATGCTGGTATATTGCTGTATTGAATAACGTCAAGGTGGAAAAAAACCATATTGGTTAATATATATTTTAATATTTAACTGATTAACCTAGACAAGTTAATTATGTTAGTGTACTAAACTGTTATACCTGAAAATATTGAATGAATATTTTTATTAATTTTGTTTCATAATTTTTTTTTTTAACATAAAGAGAGTACTACTCTGCTATACATTATGTGTTGAGTGGGCTACTATTATAGTTCTACAAAGTTTGAATTAAATCATATATCATCTTTCAGTATGTACAAAAAACGATTCTGATTGGAGACGTTCTATAAGCCAGTATTATCTAGTAATATTTTGATCTTAGTATTATTGTAAGTTGATAACATTGTTTCTGAAGACATTGTATTTATAAAATTTTTGTAATAACTTTTTTAACTTTTTCACTTTTTCACTTTTTTAATTAATATATATTTATATCACATATCAACTTTTATAAATAACAAAATTTAATATCATCTTTTTGAAAACACTGATAAACAGTAAGAATAGAGATTTATAATATCAATAAATAAATTATAATTTAAAATAAATCAAAAATGTTATTACGTACCCATAGTAAAATTCATAATAATATAATAATACCTATATAATACATAAAAGTTTAAGTATCCACAAGTTTTGTATTTAAATATTAACAAAAATTATTAAAATATTGTTATTTATCATTTAAATCAGTCAAGTTTTCCAAAATGAAACTTAAAATATCTATAAAAAATTATTGCCTTTTTATATCTTATGGTTTCTTTAAAAACTACTTTTAGGAATCTTGTAATAATATTGCAAAATAAAGATATAAAAAAAAAGGCTTTATAAATTTTTGGCTACAAAAGAGTTTGCATTTTTTTATAGTTTTAACGAAATTCGTTAAAATTTAAACATGAAAAATATGTATAAAAAAAATGCATGTGATTAAATACATATGTATTTTTAATATTTTTGTACAGTTTTAAGAATAATTTTTGTAGAATCTTTTGATCTTGTATTAAATTTTAAAGAACTTTGACCCATCAAGTAATTTCTTATTAGCATTTAAAAAGAATTGAAAATTTCTCAGGCCTATAAATAACTTAAAAAGAGTTTAAAAAATTTCAAAATGTTATCATATATAATGAAAATAATAATTTAAACATTTCGTGAAAATTTCAAGTACTTATCCATTATTATTTTTTTGAAATGTACAATTAAATATCAAAAATTGTTTGTTGAGAAATAATTATTTTCTTGGTAATTGTGGAACGTTGATAATGTAAACATTTGAACTTAAAATGCCCATGGAAATATTGTCATGGCTTTCCGATAGAATTTTTTTTTCATTTATAGATTAAGAAACTAATAAACAACTTTGTATTATAAATTTAAATCTTAAGTTTAAAAACAAATGTTTTATGTGTAAATGTATTTCTAATTATTACTAAATAGTTAATTAATTTTCACAATTTTGATGAATTTTTTATTTGTCAATATTTTAACTTTACTGTGACTATTGATTAACAATATTTTTAAATTGAGAAATTTATAATTTATGAGAAGCTTTTTAATAAATTTTCAAGTATTTCTACCCAGCAATTAAATTTTGATTCACATTTATAAAAAAATAAACTAAAAAAATTTCTTTTGCCAATAAATAGCTCAAAAATATTTAAATACATAGAAATTTAGACCATATATAAAAATTAATAATAATAATATTTTGTAAAAATTTTAAGTTTTTGATCTAAATGATTTTGGAATTATAAGAAAATAAAGAAATTAATTTATTCAAGAACTGGTTTAACGTTAAAATTCCAGTTTTTCCTTAATGTAAAAAAATACCTGGAAATTTTTAATTTTGATTTTTTCAAAATACAAACTAGATTTAAATTACTATCTAATTACTACTCTTGAGATTAAAAATTGAAACATTTATCGATTACTTATCGTATTTACAGACAAAATAATGAAACAAGTCATTGTAAAATTATTACATTGCTTATTTATAGCATTTCTAACTATATATATGACTTCATTCAATATCAAAATAGTTAAATGGTAATTGAATTTCTAGCAATCATTGTGTTTCAGAATAAGTTGAATAAATTAATCAAACGATGAATAATAAACAAATATATAATATTATAATTTTTATTCGAAAAAACGAAAAAATAAAAGATAAAATGAGTACATTTAAATTGGGCGGTCAAATTTGTTATTTGATCCAAGTCGAATGAATGTAATATTTTTCTTCCACGATACTGATATAAGCTTTTTTACGAGTAATATTTTATCGTGCTTATTATATACCGTCGATATAAAGCTTAATAAAAAAATGATAACAATTATCATTTCAAAAAAAATAGAATTTGAACATTAAAACATTTAAAACCTTAACATTTTCAATTTTCATTTTATTTCAATGGTTTTTTATTGAATTGTACTTCAAATTTAAAATATAATATATTTTGATTGTAATTTTCAAAGTTTTTATTGGAAACAGGTAAATTAATAAGTATTTTTAATAAATTATATAAATTAAATATTTACTAATTTAAACTTGTGATGTATAAATATAATTTAAGAGCATAATTAAGTATTAAATAAATTATAAATAATGTTTATACATAACTGATATTATACTAGTTGAAATTTAAAATATTTAATTTACTAAACAATAGTTAAGCTTAAGTATAATAAAAATTAATAAAATTTATTTGGATATCTCACTGTCCATATTTAAAACACATGTTGCATAATTATATTCATGATGGATAATTTCTGTTTTTTTCAGCTCCTAAAGGTTGTTCAAGTTATTGTTTTTTCGTAGTTTCATTTGATTACCTTGAAGTATGGATAATTTTCATTTAACACTTCTATAAGTAATGGAATAAAATGTAATAAAAGTAAGTTAAAGTTTTTTACTTATAATGGTTATTATTTTAAAACTTCTTAGAATTCCAATTCATTTTTTTCTTGTATAAACGACATAACCATTGGAAAACAACTACACATTTATTTGGCTTAAAAGAATACTTTTAGTTTAAATTTTCAATATTACCTTTAACTATGTATAACCCTATTTATGTTTTTAATAACATTTTTAATGCACATTAAATATATTATGTCCATCAAGAGAATATTACTTCTTCTAGTGTTCAACATGTCTTTACCTGAACTACAGGTATACCTTTTCCCTCTGTTATCAATAGATCACTTTAGTGAATACTAAATATTGTTACAGTAAAAAGACAATAAGTTTTAGTTTTTTCACAATAATATCAATACATTTATCTTTATGTGTTTAAATTTAAATAAAAAATTAGGTAGTAATATAGTATTCATTAAAATTATTTCAATAATATATGGTTAAAATTTTTTTTTTACAGATTGACAGTTGAAATACCAACTTATTTAACTTCAAGACTTGAACAAAATTTTAATTGTTACTGAAATTCAAATATCCAAGTTACATTTATAAATTTTATTATCATGATTTTATTTAAACGAGTACTATCTTTTAAGATCAATAAACAAAAACAATTCTTCAGATGCTTTTGTAGCTCTGATAATACTTTAGAAATAATTAAGTCTAATTCGATTCAATGGCCTAAGGACTATAATACTGTTCCATTGGAACCCAATATCACTAATTTTTCTACTATTAGTCCAGCATTACTTCCTACATTTAATTTGGCTGCATATGTTAATGAATCTTATTCACTGCAACAATTAGTCAAACTTGGTGTTGAAATTTACAAATTTGACAATAATCCTAGTTTAATGGAAATGATATTGAAATTAGATTTTGAACGTGATATGAAACCATATATAAGATTTATTCATGATTGTGGAGTACCAGTTGAAGAATTAGGAAAATTTTTCACAAAAAATCCT